GAGTGTCATTTCAGTCTCAAAGGCTGACGGAAAAGGTCAGGGAGCGGAAGTGACGTGCTCAGTGGCTTGTTACGGCAGAACCAGACTAGGATCTGGGCCCTTGGGCTCCCTGCCCAGTGCTCTTTCTTGCATACCTGAGTTGGAAAAGACAGTGTGGGTGGCTCTGATGGCACCACCGAGCCCTCACTGCGAGACATCTGATGACGGGGCCTGGCAGTGTACCCCATCACCCTCAGGGGCTGCTAGGCCAGCCACAGAGAGGGGGCTTTCTAAGAAAGAATAAACCTGCAAGAGACACTTCAGGAGGAAGGAACCCTGCCCTGAGCTCAAAGGCATTTGCTGGAAACGTGCCCAAAGAGGACCCCGTTGACTATTCTGGAAGGTGGCCCTAAAGCTTGGGGACTTTTATTTCAGTCTTTTCCCCAATGCTGGGGCCACTGGGGGCTCTTTGTCCAAAGGAAACTGCAGCAATGAGGAGTGAGCAGGAGCCTCACTCCCACCCCCAGAATTCCCCATTCTCGGGGCACAAGACTCGAGCTGTCATATGGGCGAGGAGGGGCACAGCCTCTCTCTCATGGGGTGCGGTGGTGGCCCCCAGGTTGAGTTGGGCCAGAAGAGAGGGGTGGAGGGCCTCAAGCCAAGGAAGCAGGACTCGGGCTCTTGCAGGGGTCTGCAGGGGAGAGGTGTGATGATGGGGTCTCTGGCACAGGCTGGTCTCCCATGGTTTAGTCATTGACACCCTTCTCTGGTGTGGGGCAGAAAGGATTTGCCCAGGGGGGCGGAGCTAGGATGAGAATGCAGTCTTGTCCCTGCAGGCCACTGTCTTGAGACCCCCCACAGCTGGGGCATGGCTCTGGCTGCGTGCGCAGGGACTTAGCATCATGTCACCTCTTCTTGTGTGACTAGATAGAGCACCTATGTTCCTGCTGTAGTGACGGGGGTCTCTCCCCTGGAGAAGAACAGGGCTCCTTGCCATACGAAAAGCCACATGGAAACACACTCAGAGCTTGCCTCGCACGTGGCCTGAGGTGGGCCCAGCTGTCGGTATGTGGCTCTGTGGCCTGGGCAGCCCAGGCCTCAGTGGCTCCATCTCCAAGTCACTCACCTGTCCACATTTGATCCCGGTGTTGCTGCCGTAGCACTCCTGGCTCTTGTCCTCTTGCCCTTTCCCCTGCTTCCTGACCCATACCTAAGGGGTCCGCCAGACCTGAGCTGTGGCCTCTGGTTCCCAGAGGTGGAGCTAGGTTTGATCCCAAGGCCATGGTTGCTCCCAGGAGCCCTAGGCTAGACGAGCAGGGGCTGGGCCCTCTAGGAGGTGGGCACATGTGGGGTAAGCAGAGCTCTGGGAGAGCCAGCCCTTCCCCTTGCACCTCTGCCCATGGCACCCACTCTTCCTTGTACATGGTGCCCGGTGCCCAGCACACTGGTTCTCAGGCCCACTGCCGCTGCATCTGTGCGGTGCAGCAATGCACGGGGCCCAGAGGTGAGGCGAAAGGTGTCTGCTCCTCTTCCCTCCCAGTTTACCATGAGGTCCCTGCCTAGCGTCTAGCACCCGCTCCACACCACTTAAGCGCCATTCTATTCCCCTGTCACAGAGAGCCCATGTTGGGGGTCTGAGGGCTGGGTGGGCCTGGCGGAGGGAGGGCAGGCCCAGCTTCCTCCTCACCTGTGCTTGGCGCTCACTCCAGCCCCCTGGGAGAAGCCAGCCAAGCCCAGCCATGGCCAGGACGGGCCCTTCCATCCTGGGGAGGCCTGGAGGCGGGGTGGCAGCAGAACCAGAGTGAGGGCTGAACCCAGGGACTACAGAGGGCACCAGGAAGATGCCCCTCCATGCCCTGTGCTCTCTTCCTCAGAAGGCCTGGACTTGGGATGAAGGAGGACCCCCTACCCCAAGACCACTCGACCCCCACTCCCTGACACGCCTTCCTTCTCTCTGTGCTTTCTTCTTCCTGCCATTTTTAGTGCTGCGTGGCCAAGAGTGGGACGGGGCTGTGTCCCTGAGCCAATTGGCAGAGGGCCTTGAGGGCTCCTCTGGGAGGTGCCTCCATGGGGACTCAAGCAGGGGACAATTCTACAGAACCCTCGCTGAGTTAGTCTTCTGGTCCTGGAGGCAGATCATGTCCTCGTGGGGTGACAGGGTGCCCCCTTCTGTTGCTTCTGTCTCCATCTGTGTCTCTTCACGCATTTGCGTCACTGTCTGTTGACTCCCCCGGCTCCTCCGCACGGGTAGTCTGTGGGCATCTGTGGGCATCAGCTCCTGCTCTGCTGGCCTCTGACGGCACACACCAGGCTTGCTGCGGTCAGAGAAAACAGGCTCCTTGCAGCCACCTCACTGGCTCCTTGCTTCTCTCTATCCAATCAGGGCCGTGGGCCCCTTTCCTTGGAGGTTGCTGGGCAGCCCTGAGAGACTTCAGCAACAGGCTAGGGGGTGGGGCAGGAACGCGCCCATTGGCATTCCAAGACCATCAGAATTTAAGCAGGGCCCCTCCCCATTCCCTTGCGCCCCACCCAGCCTTACTAGGGATACTTGCCCTGACCGCCCTGTTCACAGCCTCCCAGCCCACCTGCCACAAGAGCCATCTTCAAGCTAAAGGAGGAGAAAGAAGGCGCAAAGTGCCCGGACCTGGGGCCAGGGCCCTTGCCTGGTGTCTGAGGTGGCCTGGTGTGCTCAGGAGGACATGGACTTGGTCCTGAGCTGCTCTGGCATTGTCTGGGTGTAGGCCTTTGCTCTGAGTGGCCACATCCGGAGCATAGCCACTGTGCCTACCGGCGGCCCAGGCCAGGCCCTGAGCAGGGCCACCTGGTGATTCCCAGAGAACTAGAAGTCTTTTCCCAGTCCAGATGGAAACAGAACTACCAAGGTCCACAGAGTGGCCATCCTGACTATAGATGTGCCCTCCTGGGCCATCTGGGAGATGAAGACAGCCACCAACCTTAAGACACCCAGGCCATGGGGTAGAAAGTTCCCAAGAGGGGCATGCACTGTCATTTGGGAGTGTCCTGCCACTTTCCAGATGAGCAGACCTAGGCTCAGGGAATGGAATGTCGCACACCTGAGGCCACTCAGTGATGAGGACCCAAGAGCTGAGCCCTGGCTGGGGGACAGTTCAAGCTCAGGCTGGGCAGTGTTGTCTGTGTCAGGGCTAATGGGCCAGGGTGGCCCAGCAGGCTTTGGGAGAAGCCCATGTTCCCAGCAGAAGACTGAGCTGGTGGGCCTCGGCAGGCAGGAGAGCCCTGGCCCAACTTTTGAAGGTGGCGGGATGAGAAACACCTACTTCCCATCTTCTCCATGGGGCGACCCAGTCATAGCAGTTCCTCTTTCTGTTTCATCTTGCCCGTATTCTGCTTTTAATTTTTGTTTGTTAATAAGCCAGAGGGTTCATGCACTCGCCAGAGAGACAGAAAGAGGGAGAGAGAGCACCCGCCTGGGGAATGGTCACGCTGCAGTCTGCCCAGGCTGCTTGAATCCATTGCCACCAACTGCTACCCTACAGGGCTGAGGGCAACGCTGGTATGCCAGCTGTGGGGCCGGGCTAGGTTCTGACTTGGTCCAAGTTGGCAGAAAAGTGGCTATTAGGTGTGTCAAGGGGGTACCGGCGAGTTCCTGGGGTAGTACTGGCCCAGGGTGGGCTGGCTCCCTGCCCTGTGGGTGCCTCTCGCCTCCACCCTAGGTAGGGCAGGTTGGAGGAGGTCCTGCTCCTGCAGGTAAGGCGCTGCGGCCAAAGGAGCTGAGGGCTCTCCCAAGCCCCAGGCAGTGGGTGGCACCGGGAGACCAAGGCCCCCAGATGTCAGGCTGTACAGCTCACCTGCAGGCACGTACTCTGCTGCGTGCCCTGCCCCATGCCACAGGCCAGGATGGGGACACCTATGGAGGTGGCAGCCTCAGTGTAGGGATGTACAGGGCTCTGCTGGCAGTGATGAGGTGATGCTCCTGGCCCGCAGCAGGCCGGCCGCCTGGGCTGCTGGTTTGGGGCAGTTTCTCTTGCTGATGTGGATGATCTGGTCTGCACTGGGCCCCTGCCCTGTGGTTGCAGTGTGTCCCTGGGCTCCCAGAAACATGGCCAGACCCTGCCAACTGGCAGCAGTGTCCAGAGGGTGGCAGGCCCTGCAGGAAGAGGCTACCTGCCTAGGAATGGTGTCGGCACAGCCAGGGTCCCACTTCCTGTCATGTCCACACGCCTGAGCCCAAGAGGCTAGCAGTGGCCAATCATTTCAGACCGACAACCAGGCCCTCCCCGGCCCTGCAGGGACACTGCAGGAGCACTCCCAGCCTGGAGAGCCAGTCCTCATCCCAGCCCCACCTCAGGGCCTTCATGGCCACAGGGGGCAGCACCTGGCACAAGGCAGGTGTAGGCTGGGGAGCAAAGGATGGCCGACCACGTCCCCACCCTTGCCTGAACCCCAGTGGCTGCCCAGAGTTAGCAGTGGGGCCTTCGCTGTGCCCTGCGGAGGTGGCGCTCACCCGGCAGCATTTTGTCCCGATTGGAGACCACCGCTGTCTCTCCCAGGGAAGACCACCTGAGAGCCCGTTGCCCGGCTCCTCCCCAGATGCTCAGTGACCTTTGTGGTGCCAGGTGGTGCTGGGTGGCAGGAACTTTGGCACATTGTGCCCTCACAGCAACCCTGGAGGGGTAGGCTGTTTTTGTTCTCAGCACAGAGCTGACCTGCCCAAGGTCTGGCAGGCAGCACGTAATGAGCGAGATAGCGCCGGCCGCCCCCCAGGCATCTGCCTGTCGTGAAGGTGCGTGCCCGAGTCTGGCCCTTAGCAGACCCTGGCAGGGCTGCGCCCTCCCCTTACCTGCCATCACCGCTCTGCAGGCCCCCAGTGAGCAGGCCTGAGCAGACAGGCGGGTGCTTGCCCTGGCATCTGTCCAGCAGCCAGGACTCTACCAATTCTGCTGCCTTCATGCCCAGAGGAACATCTGGGTGATCTTGGGGTGCCAGGGACCACAAGCCATGACGAATGCACGAAGTGACAAGCCTGTACTTGTTTTTGTCCCCAGGCGCCGTTGAATTGACTGAGAAGGGTCCTGCAGAGTGGCACCATGAGTATCTCAGCTCTCGGAGGCAGCAGCAAAGGGGAGGCCAGGGCTCCTGTGGTCCCTGCTTCACAGGTGACTGCCGTCCGTGTCCGAGGGCTACGCGCACGCTTGGGCAGCCCAGGGAGAACAGGCCATGGGGGGGGAAGGGGGCTCCAGGGTCTTTGGGCCGGGCTCTTCTCCTGAGGCCCTTTGGCCTGGTGTCCACCAGGGAAGCCCCTGCCACGAGGCGAGGAGGAGCGTGATAATGTCCTCAAGCAGATGAAAGTGCGAACCACGCTGAAGGGGGACAAGAGCTGGATCACCCAGCAGGACGAATCAGAGGGCCGCACCATGTAAGTCCAGGAGGCCGGGAGGGGTGGCAGGAGCAGGGTATGGCCCAAGAGGCCCAGCCCTACCTGGGGTGCCCAGGGGCTTCCACCATTCCGAGCTTGCCAGGCTCCAGGACCACAGGCCAGCTGGAGAGGGCGGAGCATGGGCAAAGCCAGAGCATATCACAGGGCAGCCCAGCCCCCAGGAGCCGGGGAAGGAGAAGGGGCGGCGGGAGTGCTGGGGCTTGGCAGGCACCTCTGAGATAGAGGGACGGAGGCTGTGGTGTAGGGTCAGGGAGCTGGTGGAGAGCCACTGTTTCAGCTCCCCTCTTTCCTCAGAGAGCTGCACTCAGGCCGGAGCCGCGCCACATCCTTCTCATCGGTTGGGGAGGTCGCAAAGGCCAGGTGAGGACGTACAGTAGTAGGGAGAGGTGGGCACTCCACAGGGGCAGGGAGTCCTCGGGCACCCAGAAAGGACGGCTGGTCTGTGCTTCCCTCTCTGGAAAGCTAGTGGGAGCCCTGACTGGAGGCCCTGGCCTGGCTATATGACATGGGACAGCTGAATCCCTGCTGACCTCCGTGGCTGCAGCTGTCATCTGGGATCCAGATTGTCATTAAGAAGACTGAACCCCTTACGGGCAATGAGCCGGCACCCCAAGGTGCGGGCGCCCCAGCTGCTGAGTGTGCTTGGTAATCAGCATGCCAGGGGAGACCCGCGGGTTTGTGCTGAAGGCCTCCCACGTTCTGAATGACATATTTGGCAGCTTGCTGGGAGGAACTGGCCTCTCTGTTTCAAGGACTTCTCTGTAATGTGCAGGGGGCTCTGGCGCTTGGGCACCTCCTGCTGGCATCTGGAAGAACTGTTCCTGAAATGTGCGCTTGATCCCGGATCCAAGCAGTGGGTGGTTAGCCATGTGGTGGGGGAGGGAAGTAGTAGAGGCCAGGCCCTGGTGCTCCAGACACAGCCCTTCTCCTCAGGGGAGTGGCACCCCAGCCAGGGCCCCGGCCATGACTGCAGTAAAAAACTAGGCAAGAGCGTTGTGGATGTGCTGGTGGGGGCTAGCCAGTCAGTGGGTTTGAAGGTGGTCCGAAGGCAGTCTAGTGGCCAGGGGGCTTCTCTGCTTGGGGGATGCAGCTGTCGCCCTGGCTTTGGCATGGGGTGCATTTGGAAAGTACACCCTGGGGTGTGGTGAGTCAGGGTGCAGCCAGCGCTACCTGAAGTCTCATGAGCCTAGCTGTCACTCTGCCCCAGAGTGGCCAGGCCCAGCCAGGCCACAGCCTCAGCCGCCTCAGCCCAGGCGTTTCAGTGAAAGAGGCCTCTGTGGCTGGGTGGCTAGGTAGCCTGTCTTCTTTGAGACTCCTCAGAGGCTGTCCCCTGTAAGAACCAAGTCTGAGGATGGACAGGCTGGGGGACATTGCCCTGAGGCCCAACCCCCACGGCTTCACCCCAAAGTCCCTTGATTGCTGGAGCTGGCAGGAAGACTCCCTGGAGGTGCCGTTGTCTGCTGCCCTTGCTCGTCCCTTGGCTTCCCCCATCAAGTCCCCTGGGCACCCTCCGCACTGGGGCCTCGGGCTTACCTCAGGCCTGTGAGTGGGTGGTAGAACAGCACCAAGGAGACGGGGTCAGCTGGCTGTGCCTGGGCTCCTCCTCATGGCCCTTGGGATCCCTCCTAGGGAGGCCGTGGTGCGGGGCAGGCCAAGAGAGGCCTGGGCTCAGACTGGGGCACCTTTCCCTCTGAGAACAGAGGGAGGATGAGCCTGCCCTTGGGAGCGCTGGGCTAGGCGGGCCGAGAAGCTGACTGTGGAGGGGACAGCCCTACAGCAAACGCCCCACCGCCTCAGCACCTGCTGCTGGTCAGGCCATACTGGGCCTGGCTACAGAGGGACCAGCCAGTTTTCCTGAGGGGGTGTCAGAGAAACAGGACGAGTAGAGTGAGCCCCTGGGCTGGGGCTCCCCTCATTTCTGCTGCAGTGGGGGCAGGAGAGAGGCAGGCCTCCTCTTCCCCTGCAGGCCTCCGAGCACCAGGGCCCCCACTGGCTACATCATCCGGTGAGTGCCTGCGTGTGTGCCCGTGCTGCCCTGCCATCGGCCCTCCTCCCCACCGCAGGCTCACCCGCCCCCTGGGCTCTCTTTCAGGGGAGTGTTCACCAAGCCCATAGACAGTGCATCCCAGTCGCAGCAGCACTTCCCCAAGGCCAACGGGACTCCGAAGAGGTGTGTGCCAGGATGTGGCCAGTCAACCACGGGGAGGTGTGAGGGCCTAGGCTCCCCGCGCAGAGAATGCTCTACCTGATGCAGGGCGCTCGGGCAGTGCAGGGGTGGCTGGGTGGAGGCCCTGGACCAGTAACAGTGTCCTGACTGGCCTGGTCACTGGAGCACGGAGGTATGGGGGGAGAGACTGGGAGGGCAGGGCTTCCTGCTGTATAAGCACATGGGTTCCCCCAGAAAGGAAGGCTGGTCTGGCCATGTGGGGGAGACCAGCTGGCTACTCCCTGACGCTCCACTGGGTCTGTCTGCAGCCAGAGGGGCTGGCCTGGCAGGGAGGCACAGGTTTTGGGGGTTGCCAC